TTTAAAAAAATAAAAAATAAATAAAATTAAAAAAATAAAATTCTAACAGAGGGCTGGAATGTAGCTCAGTGGTAGTGTATCTGCTTAGCATAAGCAAGGACCTGAGTTCAATTCCCAGTACCACAAAAAAGAAAAAGAATGTCCTAACAGATTTTTTTAAATAAAAAGAGCAGAACAATGGTACTTCCCAAATACATATTAACATTGGACTTAAAACTTGCTAAATTCTTATAGCATTCTGCTGTACGATTAAATTCATTTTATTCTCAAGTAACACCCTCTATATGGTGCACTTAAAATTGTTTAGTAATTGTCTACTCTCAAATTCAAGTAAGATGACATCATACACACTTAATTCTGTATTGTATATGTAACACATATGTTGTAACTTCTTGTCTTTATCTCTCCTATGTCCGAGAAATCTCCAGATGCTTTTTAGTCTCACAACGTTAGGTAGAGTATATTTTCATTAGCTAGAATTCATTTTTCTTTTTCCTTAAAGCTTATGAGAAAGGGGCTGGGGTTGTGGCTCAGTGAGAGCGCTTGCCTTGCACATGTGAGGCACTGGGTTTGATTCTCAGTACCACATAAAAATAAACAAACAAAAAATATTGTGTGCCATTTATAATTTTAAAAATTTTTTAAAATATTTTTTTAAAAAGCTTCTAAGGACAATTTTTGTTTCAGTAGATTTAATTAATTTTACTCCTAAAGGATGATGAATACCCCAATATTTTATTTCTATCTAAAATTACAAATGATAAATCATAAATGTGTGTGTGTATGTGTGTGTATACAAAATAAAGTAGTTGCACAGCTACATGAAAAGCTGAAGAAGATAATGCACTTCTTTAGAGTATGGAAAGGAGTTAGTCCGGAAACTGCTTTAGGCACACACATAAGTATCTCGACTCATTGAATACTAGGCTTTTGAAAGCTGATAAAAGATTATTTTAAGACATTATAATTAAAGAAAAAAATAATACTTTTGTCACCTAGGATAAAGGGGTGTAAGGAAGCACATTTATGCAAATTAAATTAATGCACACAGATAGCTATTTTCCAAGTTAAGGATGTCGAGTCATCCATGAAAGAGACACATTGAAGACAGCAAGCAGAAAATGAAAAGAATATGGACTACTTTCAAAAATGGCAAAGAGAAAAACAGAATGTGAAAGCAGTTAGAAACAATCTTGCTTACTGTATCATATAGTCTAGATAACCAAATCTGAATGCTGACAAGCTACATGTATCCATAAGAAATCCTAAATACACAATTCACACCTTGACTTTACATTCTTAAGTTTTCCTTTTGCTATCGTTCTTGCAAGTATTTTTAAAATAGTAGTAAGATGTTACTATATAACTTACTTGAGTGAGAAATAAAAGAACAAAACCAAAGAAAGTGGCTGACTACGTTAAACTAAACCTTCAGCTTCTGTCAAACAATAATTTCTTCCAATATCATTCCCTTTACCAGGACTTGAAACCAATTTTCTCCACTATTGCCATTCAGACACAAAAATTAATTTACTCCAAAGTAGAATTTTATTCCATCCTATTATATTCCAACTGTTAACTGGGTAAACACTTTGAAATTATTACTACAAATATTTTTAAAGAGTACATAATATCAATATTTAAATTCTGGATTGAAATCAAAAGCAGAGATGTTAGAAGAAAAGAGTAGCTAAACCAAAATGATTTGACAAATACAAAATCATTAATACTTTTTAAATGTAACTACAAAAGTACACATAAACTAGAAAAATGCCATATTCTTATGCAAAAATATAAAAATATTTTTATATCTTAAATATATAAAAGGGAGATATTTTCATGCATGGCTTGTTTTTTTTTAGCAGTACCCACAAAAAAGGTAAAAAGAAATAGTTATGTTTCTGTTATGTAAATAAGTATTTTTTTTTTACATTGGCAAAGGCACAACTGAATAATTCAATGGGACAAACATCAGGAAGACCAAGATGGGTAAGGGTTAAAATAATCTATTTTCTATAACCAATACCTGATTCTTACTTCCACTTTCTATTAATAAGGTTTTGTTATTCTTGTGTGTATTTTTTAATGACAGTAATGTTACATATGTAACTTGCCTGAGTGAGAAATGAAAGGAACAGAACCAAAAGGATCTTCTGGAGGATGATTATGTGGAGCAGAAAGTGGTTCTATATTCTTATCTGAGGATGCTCTCTCCTCGAGCCTATCTGTAAAAATAAGACGAAACAAAACAAAAAAAATAAAACAAAACAAAAATGGTCTTTAAATTAAAAGTGATATACTTCTGTATAAATAAAAGCAAAAATCAAAGTAACAGCTTTTTGGAAAATATTAGATTCAGAGTTCCATTATTCTAAGTATTAAAACGTAGTCCTGAATTTAATACATATTTGTTGCTACAAAAGCAAATTTCACAATATAATCAGTGCTAGGTTACACTAAAATACAATTAACCTAATAGGTTAGTTAGGTTCAGTTAAATATTACTTGATGACTATTTATAACATATTAAATCTAAATTTGAACCCTACTTATTAAAGAAAGGAAAACTTTCTTCAAATAAATATGGGAAAAAAACATCACAAATGATCATTCATCATAAAAACAGGAAATCCTATTTCTTGATAGCAATAAATTAATTCCCTATATTTTATTACTCATTTCTCATTTGTTTTACTATCAAAACATTTACCCACACACATAACATGGAGATGCAAAAACACAGATAAGAAGTTTATTTATTCATTCAACAAATATTTGAGCATCTAATATGTGCCAAGCACTGTTCCAGACAATTGGTACATAACATAAAACAAAGATCCTGTCTTCATGTAGTCTATGTTGGTGTGAAAAAAATTAATAAGCAATGAGATAATAAATATATGTAGTATGCTTAAAATGAATAAAGTTATAAAGAAAAAATGTAGTACAGAATAAAAGGAATTAAAGAAGTGGGCATTAATAAATAGACTGATTCTAATAGTTATTTAGGTAAGAAATGTCTTACAGGCTAAGGAGTGAATACCTGGGGAAAGAACACATAGGAAGAATTAGAGCTGAAACAAACTCAAAGTCAGAAGCAGGCCTGGCGTGTTTGAGGAAGAGCTGTTACGTTTTCATTCCCTAGAAATGATTATCTTTTCGCAGCTCTCAAACTTTCCACATAGCAGATCCTTATATCAATTAGAAACTTCCAGACTTTTGTAGGATGTCTCTTTCCTCTGATTCTTAGCAATCAAAATTATATTACTTGAGACTCACTCAGGTAGATATTTTGGCATTCCTGGGACTAGACCTTTGGTCCATATCCTTCAATGAAGTTCAATTCATATTTAGGTTGGCCTAATTTCAAAAATTCTTTGTGTAATTATTTTGGTTTCAATAGAATCCTAAAGGACTGCAGAGTGTGGAAGGGGAATCCAAACAGATATGAAACTCCTTAAAATAACTTGTACTTTAGAGAGAAGCAGAAAGTACCAAGGTAAAGCAGTATCCCCTATAATAATACTTCTGAAACGTAATGTGCATTGCAATCATCCGGGGATTTGTTAAAATGCAGCTTCTGGTTCCACAGGTATAGAGTGCATTCTGAGATTTTGCACCTCAACAAGTTCCAAGGTAGTATTGATATCACTGGTCCAAGGAGTACACTCTTGACAAAGCAAGACCCTGGAGCACATCTTTATTCTGAATTTATTAATTACTCCTATGGACTACTAATTGCCTTTAGGACAGTGGATACAACTGCCAGCTTTTACAGCAAAGACAAACTCTGCAACATCCACATGGCACTATGGATTTAAATTTTTATTTAAAATTTTGTTGAAGCCCTAATGTTTTGTTGAGGTGTGAGGCACTGATAAAGAGTTGCTGAACACATCTGACAATTGATTGCAGAACAAACAAAACTTCCTAAAATGCTACTCTTCAATTCCAATACTGAAATGGATAACAGAGAAATATTAGGCATTAATTTTAAAGATATTAACCATATATTCAATTTAGGAAACCAGTAACAAATGTTCATTGAACCATTGACTTTGCTGTCAAAAACAACTATTAAAGAGAAGGTAGTCTCATATCTCTTTCTGAAAAAGTAAGGTTGGAGAATAATTTATATAATGAAGGGTTCCTCACCTATTGTGAGATGCCACAATTAGACTTTAAGGACCATCCTATGATTCACAGTGATTACCTATGGATACCCATGTTTTTTGTTTTTTGTTTTTTTAAGTTAGGCCCTGAATGTACTTACAGAATAACTATATACCAGGGAATTATGCCTTGTATCAGAATTCTCTTAGACTCCCCATTCTTCTCCATCTCCCAGATTCTAGTATCTAAAACTAAGGACAAAGGAAATAGGGAGTGGGAAAACACAAATGGGGGAGACTAATTCAAAATGATAGCAATAGCATAGCAATACAATAGCAATATCCAAGAGCCCTCTAAAAAGCAAGATTAAGAGTATTAGGTATTTATTTAAATCTGAATTAGGACCAGACTTTAACCCTAAACCATCTACATCATGATTTGAAGACTGCTACATAAAATGCAATTACTAACCATACCCACAACCTAATGAGTCAGATAAATTATAAGTAGGAACGTGGGAATCTGCATTTTAACATAGTCACCAAATTTATAAACCACTACTATACCAATAGTTTCCAGGTTATAAAACTACAAAATAACTACTAAGGCTCTTTGAATATTTATGCATTTGGTATATTATTTCCATCAAACTTTGGTAAGTTCATGGTAAATATACAAATAGTATCATGCAGTTAAGACAAGAGTACAAACATTATCACACAGGGATAAACTAATTTTTATATAGAAGTCACCACAAATAAAAAATATGGAAGACATGGTTCTATGAAAAGTTCATTTATCCAGTTATTTTAAAACCGAAATCAAAATAAATTTATAATAAAATAAATCATGTTCTTAGTGTTCCACAAAACAGAATCACTTTTAATGGAATATTTTTAATCATTTAAGGTTTCTAAAATTTACATGACAATCTGAGACCCAGAACAAAAAAATACAAATATACATATTAATTTTTAACAATCAATTATCTATAAATAAAAAATAAAATGGTTATATAAAGCTACTTTTCAAATACAGTCACCCCTAAAATGTATTTAACTATCATTTTTAAATGATTAGTTTTCTTTAACATAGATCAAAGCTTGAGTTCAATTTGGCCAATATAAGAAACTTACCTCCTTCTGCCTTCCAAAAAAAAATAAACTGTATTCACCAAAACAATTTAAGAATTTTAATTGATACAGATGGAAAAAATATAGGACTTAAAACTCCTAAAAGCAAAGTATATTCTACAATATCACCATAAAATTAAAATAATCTAAAAAATGAATTGTGCTGCTTATATGGATAATGTCCTACAGGGCCCAAACGTCAATGAATAAGATTTTTTAAAAGAGCAGTCTCAATGTAATACTAATATTCTAATATACCTGAAAAGTTGTGTGAGAGTTAATGTTTTACAAGAAACTAATTATAGACTCACAAATTTTATTCTGTGGCTTCATAGATAAAACATATTCAGAAGTACTGAAAAGCAATCACAGTATTTAGCATCTTCTATTCTTCCTTTCAGTTATTTTTATGAACTTTCAAATAAAAACAAATAAATCAACCAAAAAATGTTTCATTAAATATTATCCTTAACATTTACACCTACACAACTATGTGAACAAGTGCAAGTCGAAATTTCCCCAAACACCTGTATTTTGTTTAATTACTGCTTAATATGTTAAATACTATGACAATTAGGTTTCTGAAGTTTGCATACCAAATCCAGACATTTTGGTACAAAAAACAGATAGAAGCTTAAATTTTTTTTAAATTATTTATTTGTTTATTTACTTCACGCTAAAGATTGAACCCAGGGGCACTTAATCACTGAGCCACATCCCCAGCCCTTTTTTGTATATATTTTATTTGGAGAAAGGGTGTCATTAAGTTGCTTAGGGCCTCACTAAATTGCTGAGGATGAATTTGAACTTGTGATCCTCCTACCTCAGCCTCTCAAGCCACAGGGATTACAGGCATGTGCCACAGCACCCGGCTTAAATTTTTAATAAATATTGAGACAAGCTTTATTACTAAAGCTTAATCTTGATTTAATGTATTGCTCTTAAGAACCAGTAAAGCTTCTGAACCATAAATAACATTCATTTACACTGAAAGTAAAAGACTAGTTTCTTTCATGTTAAATCCCTTTGCCTCCTATACAGAATCAATTGTTTTTCTGAAAATCACTAAAAAGAATTGTTACCAATTGCTAATATTTTAGAATTTTCAAAATATTAATATGTTCTTAAAATTACCTTCTTGATAATACCTCAAAAAAAATACTTCCTAGACAGCATATCCTTTGTCTTTCATTAAGGAAATAACCCCAAATGTGAAAGTATTATTCTGACTGATTGCAACCATTACATCATTACATGGGCAATGCCTGTACTTTAAGGACCATATAAAGATTTCCAGCCTCTCAATTCAAAGCATTTCATAAACAAAAAATAAACTAATTTAGAATAATATTGGAAAATTATTAACAAATTAATATTTATACCAAGGAAAAAAGGTACAAACATCCTATTTGGCATTTCAAATACATCAATATTGTATTTATTCATTTTTGAAAAGGTTGTTAGGGACAGAAGAAACCAACCAATAATGACAAACATCAAGTTTCACTGCAGTTACCCTTGCAGTGAAATTCTTAAGGTTCTAGAAGAGGCCATTTGCCTATCAGTATAATTTAAGCCCTATCAAAAAGATGAAATATTAGACACATGACAGCTTCTATTTAAAGAGACAATTAAAATGACTATGACTGAATATTAAAATCATAAGCAGAAATGTTTCAATACTATATTCTATACATTACTGATTTCTTAATAAATTTTATAAAAGATGTTTCTCCTTCTTTGGACCCCCAAAGAGAAAAGTAGATTTTTTTCTATCTGTTTCCTTGCTGTCACTGTCCCTTTTGTTGTTGACATGTCTGTCCACAAATCCCTTTTCTACTTTGATTTTTAAGTGACCAACTAAGAAACTTAATAATTTAGATATAATTTTTAAATGCCAGTTGAAAGTCAAAAAACCTGTAAGTCAGAGCCTAAAGAAATATACAGAAGGCAAGGAAAGGGAAAGTGCATTTATCAACTGGGTGCCCAGACTCTTTTTAAGACATTATTTCATTTAATTCTTCTGACAACCCTGAGTGAAGTACCATTAAGTGAAACTGATACCTGGCTATGTGATTTTACTGAGTTTCCTACTAGTAAATACATTGTCAGGTATTAGAATTTGTATTTTCTGGTATAAATGTGCTGAATTAAATAAGTACAAAGGCCTGTAGCAATGATTTCTGTAGATGAGGTACCATTGAGATATTTTTCCAAATGACAGAGGTTATTCCAAGTCTGACCTGCAAAAAAAGTTCCTCCTGAACTTTCAATTGGAACCTAATATCTTTCTACAGTTAATACTGCAATAAAATTTGAACTGTCTTTGGTATACATATGTGCACAAGCACACACACATATTACCTGATCTTCAAATTTAAAAATAAATAACTAGTTCAAAAATTTAAAGTTAAACCCAATTCTTTATGAAAGAACACATATAGGTATATTCATATACCATTCCTGCCTATGCCAAACAAAAGTTAGGTGTCATTACAAATTCTCAGGAGCATAGAACAGCATACTCTGTAAGGTAAAAAATGAGAATTTTTTCCTATTCTGTTATTTTAAAAGGGGGTTTATTCACCCAAGGAGTAGCAAATACTGATTTAGCAAAACCTTATTAGAACACATCAAAATTAAAACCTTTTGCTTTTAAAAAAATCCTATACATTATAATAATTGGGCTACTCTCTATCATCTCTCCAAAAGAGATACTTTATTTCCTTTTTTAAAACCTTGTTTTGGGGGTCACTCAACACAAATTCTAGGAAAAATACCAAACAAAAAGTTGTGGTTTAAAAAGATTTTTTTTTTAATGATGTAAGATTGGTTTTACCCAAGTTAACAAACCTTTGATAAGGCCTCAGAACTCATTTATATATCTACATTTAATCATCAATTAAATTTCCATTATATATTACCAATATGTAAAATACAAATTTAAATCCTAAACAACTATTATTACATGAATGCAAGGCATTTATAAAGTGTACATAAAATATATACTAATTTGGAACAAAGCATTTCAATCTATTAAATTTATTCATAACACTGGTTACCTAAATAATATAGAAACTAGGAACTGGGAACAATTTCAACCTTTTCACATACAAAAAGGAAAACACACTTGTGTGTGTGCAGTGCACACACATAACGCACAAGCCTCAGAAATCTGAAAATTATCTACATCCTCCAGAAGTGAGTTTTTTGTTCCTGTTTTGCAAACCTGAAAACATCCTACAACTTTCTTCCCCGCCAAAAAAAATGTGTGTGTGTGTGTGTGTGTGTGTGTGTGTGTGTGTGTGTATGGTGAAGCTTCACATATATATTAGGTAGTTTAAGAAAAGGCAATGATTTCAAGTAAAAACATTGAGATATCTGATTTACAGTGAAAAAAAATTTATTTAACTTTTGCCATATCAGGACAACAAAGCAGCCCTTTTATGTCACCACTCATTAAAAGGGCATTACAAAACATTAACATAATGTAGTAACTAGCCCATGTTTTCTTTCAGGCATTTTCAAAGGGCATCTCAGACCCACAATATTTTCTATTAAGTGTGCGAAAAAACAGAGCTCCAAAATGATTAGTAAGGCAAGATACTAATGTCTCCCTTTTTATTTCAACATTAAATTTCCATCTTTTGGAGTTGTTCTGAATTTAACATTCACAGTTATGCAGTTTTTTAAAGTGTTAATATCAGAATACTTTCAGCAATCTTGGGTTTTGAATAGCTACTATAAAGCAATAAATCCCTAATGTGCATAATATAGTTTGATAGTGTATATGAAAGAAGATGGCCTGAATTTTGCCCTCAAATGCACAAAAAGAATTTAATGTACACCACCTCAAAACAGTCTTTGGCCTTGCTGAAAAATTATGGAGCTGTTATTTTACTGTGAAGCAAAATAAGCCTTCAAGTGTCCCTTACTTGATCTTAGAAGGTCAAATTCTCTGTCCAACAGTTCCTCTTCTGTTAACTTGGAGAAATTATCCTCTCCAAAAGGATTCCACCCTGACATATCAGGTGGGTTACTGATGTTCTTCTGATTTGTAAAATTTGCAACTGCCTCTTTCTCAGCAACTGGCCTATTATAATAATTGAGAGAGGAAAAGAAAGAAAATGAGAATTTAAAAAATTTCACATTGCCCCAGTTTGTATTTTATAAATGCTTAGAAAACCATACAATTTTATTGCAGTTGAGATGGCAGGTTAAGGGTATGGGATCTGAAACACCTCTATAAGGCAGACTAGTTCCATAATCCATAAGGCACACTAGCTCTATAATCACCTACAAAAGGTACATAACGTATTCCTTAACCCCTCTATGCTTCAGCTTTCTCATCTATTGGAAAGGAGTGACAGTATCTACTTCAAAGCATTTCTGAAGAAATTAAATGATTTAATACACATATAAAGAGAATAGGTCTGGTAAAGAAAACCAAGCAGTCAATAAATGAGTTATTATTCTTACAGTGAACAAGTTGGAAAGTGACAATCTGTTACCATACCAAGCAGTATCACTCCAAAATTACTTCAGAATAACTGTATAGTGATCATGTCCTGGTTATGTGGAAACACCACAATAATTTAACTACAAACAAAAGATGAATTTTAGGATTGCCTTACTAATAAATTAGCTAAAGTTGAAAGAAAGTTATTCTGTAAATATGTAATTATTCATGGTGTTTAAAGTACCTAAAGTCTGGGGCTGGGGAGATGGCTTTTTGGTAGCTTGCTTAGCATATACAAGGCCCTGAGTTCAATACTTAGATTGCAAATATCAGTCAAACAATCATTAAATACAAAACTATCAAGTCAGGAGCCTAAGACCACTGATTCTATGCAATTTGCCAGATAGGCCTCTTGGTTTTTAAGGGAAAATGTAAGTCTAAAGACTTCTTAAGAATCCCTGGGTACCTCTCCCTCAACCAGCCTGGAAATACAGCACAGGAATGAGGCAATTTAACAAATCTATCAAATTCCTTACATAATTCAGATCTAAACCCTTTAATATTGACAATGGAGAGAAAGTCTCTATGTTTAAACAAGTATCTCCATTTTGCAAGCCTTGACTCATCCCTTTGAATTTACTTTCCCTTTGGCAGCTCAATGTCCTTGCCACCACATAGGTCCTAGAAGGTAAAAGTCAGCAAAAGACATCCATTTAATCCCTTAGTCCAAGCCCCCTCAGAATATCTGTGCCAAGAATAGAATATTTAAACAATTATTGAAGGCTAGAGGATAAGAAAAGAAAATAAACTATAAGTACACTTGCTTAGTAAACAGAACCTAGATATTGCCAAGGCCTAAAAATCTGCCTCCATGTGACAAAATTCCATCTTTATTCCAAAACTGTTTTCAAGGACTTTCAGAGTCCTTAACACAGATCAGAGAAAGGGAAATTCAAAGAACAACATTTTCCCTCCTATAAATTTCTTTCAGAGCCTTTTGACTTCCTATTTGAATCACTCCTCCAATTCCTATGATGAATCCTGGCAGACTGTACTCAATAGGGTATGTTACCTTAACCTACAGCTTACCTACAGTTCAAAGACACATTAAACTATGTCTACCAGCACTGGGAATATAGATTATTGGTAGAGTCTAGCATGCCCAAGGTCCTGGGTTCAGTCCCCAAGAAAAAATAAAAATAAACACAAACACACACATGTTCTCTGATATTCCTCCCTACAAGAATAAAATCTAATTCTGCTCTTTGTTTTTTCCTAGTCTAATTACAATTTTTACTTTTCCAAATAGCACTTTTCTTTATTAATATTATAAATAATAAAATCATGTAACACTAAGTAGAAGTACTAAAATGTAAATTATGAAATGCAAGTAATAATTTAATAAATTTCCAAAAATGACATACCTGGAAATAAGTCCCCAGTAATAAGAATGGAATAATTTTTCTTATTAAAAATAGGATAGGGATTAATGGGCTATAGTATGTCTGAGGCCCTTGGTTCAATCTCCAGTACCAATAAATAAATAAATGGATATTGTGCTCTATATTCCTTAAGATATTGATGAAAGTAATGTATCAATTACATGACTGCTTTTTTTTAACTTTTGGTGTTAACTAGCATCAAAATATTAATTAATCTAGTGAAATTAGTTGGAAAGTACAAAAGATATTAAGCTGAATTACTACAGTATTCCCTACTTTAATCTTATCTTTTAGTAATACTGCTCATGGAATCATAGTTATAATACGTATTTTCCCCTAATTTTTGTTTAATTACTAAAATTTTTAAAACTTGGTTTATCACCAAAATCATCTTGCATACCCAAGGTTGGGAAACACTGGATTCAGTATCTTCAAATGCATATAGGACTTATTTTATTCCCTCTCCAATGGAGCTGTGTACTACTGGATGGGAACATGGAGCAGGAAAGGGCTGATTATTTAATAGGTAGAAACAATTATATACTATAGCCATTAGAGCTTAGGAATACAGAACTTCCTATAGGAAGCTACATTTGTTTGGTGCCTCAATGTTCCTTCATCGATATTATTATACTACTAGATATCAGGTTAATTTTGAGTATAACATCTTCTCTAGCAATTTTAAAAGAGCTCTGTAAGCAGATGTTCCTGCTTATCAGTGGAAGGTGACAACTGTTTGTCTCTAAATATTATCTTAGAATGATTTTCCCCTTCTCCCCAAATCTAAAATTCCTCCTCTTCTACTGTGTTAACTTATCTTTGGTATGAATATCAAATAATATTTCAATAAGTTAAAATAAACATCCTCTACATATACATTATCTTATATCTTATAATTGCCCTATTATATTAACTATCATATTAACTAATATAATTGCCCTAGTATATTAGTTATCTGTCTCTACATGGTAAATTACACAAAACTTAATAGTTTAAAACAACAACAAACATTTATTATCTTATACCCTTTCTCCAGTGAAAAATATAGGAGTGATTTAGCTGAAAGGCTGTTATGACTGAGTCTGCATTGGCTGGTGCTGAATGATCTGTTTACAGGATGGCTCACTAACCTGACTTTGTACAGGAGGCCTCAGTCCCCTGCCACAACGATTCTAATTAATACAATAGCTTCGTCAGTATCTTAAACTATACAATATCAAGCAGAATATCCTATTTTTAATATGGAAAAGAATTCCATTCTTATCATCACTATGGGGGGACTAATTATGCAAATTTATTAGATTACTACTTGTATTTCATAGTTTATATTTTATTGATTCTAATTAGTTTAGAATATCATAGCATATGCTTTAATTTTACTATTTACAATCCAATTAATTTATTCAAGAAAAAATGCTTTGTGAGAAAGAAAAACCTATAAATAGAGTAAGCTAATGACAAATAATGATTTGTACATTTAAGTTCTGCTCTCGACTTAAGACAAATCTGTCCTATTTCATATACTCCAGTTTTGTTTTAGGAAAGCACTTCATTAAATTCATTTTTCCCCTCTCCTTCCCTATTTCCCCCTAATCAATAATTTATCACTATTGCTTTTTTCTTTCTCTCTCTCTCTTATCTCATACACACACAGAAGTTGGGAATTGTTCTATAGTAAACTGTGTACTTTCACACTCTTTTGAGATACACACAGTACAATTATGCTACCAATGTTACTGCTTCTCATGCCCAATTCCCAGTTGATGCTTGTGGAGACCTTTTCCCAGCCAATGTTTTAAATCCTGCATTCACTAGAAAAATACTTGCCTAGCACTATAAGAGGAGTCCATTATGGTTCCAACCTGAGCTGGAAGTGACGAAGTGTAGGAAACTAAGGCTGGTGAAAACTCTTGAGGGGAGGTAAGATATTCAGGTGATGCCTGCTGTTGGGATTGCTGATGTTGAGCTAGCATCTGCTGCTGCAAGAAAGTCTGCTGATACTGCTGCATCTGAAACAAGAATGATATTACATAAATCAATGCTCAAGTCAATAAAGTACTATCAGCATTGTTTTTGTTTACTATCCTTCTTTCTTTTTACTTTGGTGACAAAAGCAGAAACCTAGAAAATAATGAATTTTATTTGAAGGAACAGCTCTCTTACTAGAAAACTACAGCAGGAGGAATTTTACCTATTTAAGAATTTGTGAATCTAAGCTCACTTGGCCAGATTCAAAAATTCTCCCTTAAATATTTTAAGAAAAAGACAAGAGAGTGTCTTAGTCAGTAGAATGCTGGTGCTGTAAAAAGTCAAACTATTCTCTGAATCAAATGTTCTTTCCCTTTGAATTTCATTTTTATTCAACTGACACGGAATGAAAGAGACACGTGGCAAAGATCACGTAAAAGATCATTTCCCTTAAACTATAAGAGAAGTATGTTGTCTGTCAATTACAATGTGCCATACACTTGGGAGCCACAGTTCAAAATAGTTTATGACTACTTGAGAACATACACCTGTCTTCAATAAAATACATGTCAATTAAATAATTTGAACTGGTTCTGGATTATTAAATTCTGAGTAACCCCATTAACACTGTGAATTCCAACATTATAATGCATATCCAGAAAGAAATCTCTAGAAATTATGTAACATTTTACCATTGGAGGATACTGTGATGCAGGAGGTTGCGGTTGATACACTGAATGCATTAAAAATTGTTGCTGGAGTAAATGTTGTTGATGCATTGCATGCTGATACTATAAGATAAAAATAAATAAATAATCAATATTATCCATGCATTTTTTATGCCAGAGTCCTTTACTTAAATATTCATTTTACCATATCAGTAGTCTAAACTCCAGTACAAAATAGCTGTAGAGTGACTATAATTTACATATGCTTATTAGAATTGGTTTTAAGATTGTCAACAAAATACAACAGAGATTCAACTAAAACCATATGCAGTATAATTTAAGAATGCCTGCAAGAATGCCAATGCTAAACATTTTTATCATCTTTTCCCAGTTGACAAATTCCCCTGAAGTGACTTGTGACCAGGACCCATTACAGAAAATCCCCACTCTTCTCCACCTCCTCTTCAGTAGTGTCTTCGGCCATCCCATAACACCATTTACTTATTACCCTCCACTCTGGCTATATCAATCATAATTAGAGAAAAGTGACACCCATGAAAAATGTCATGAATGTAATTGGATCAAAAAATAGTTTAGGAAATCAAAGTGATGATGGTAATAGTAGTTCAATTTAAAAGTTTAATGAAACTAGAAATCTATTGGTTCTGATGAGATGAAGGACATTTTTTTCCTTACGTCCTTTCAATTCTAAATGCTTCCTCTTACCCCTATACCAACCTCGTCAAAAAAAAAGGAAGAAAGAAAAGAAAAGAAAAGAAAAAAAAAAGAATTTAAAAATTTAATACAATGGTACTTTTGGAAAGAACAATAACACATTGTCTACAATAGTCTGTGAACTCAAAACAAGACCTCAGATAATATTCATTACCAATCACAATGCTTATTCCTGAATACTAACTGAACATTCTCTGCTTCATTAGGCCCTGATGCAACCTGTTTTAATAAGGTATCCTTAAGTAGCTCATCAAATGCAAATTAACTACATATTCTTTAATAATCAGGAAATTAAAGAACATGTTTACTTGAATCTAGTTCAAGATGCCCATAATACAAAAAAGCAATTCAATGATTTTTCAACTGCTACATGATTTCACAATTCTACTTCCAGATCTAAACTAGTAAAAGAACTACCTGCTGCATATAAGCATCCTGAAGTAGCTGATGTTGCTGCTGCTGCTGGTGAGGGTGATGATGCTGTAAATGAAATTGCTGTAATCTCCAATCTCCCTGTTGTAGTTGTTGAAGTACTCTATGCTGCTGTGGAGGATGCTGTGGGGGCCCCTGACCCAATAAGATTTCAGGGTCATTTCCAGGTCTCAGTGATCCTATGATAGATTTCCAAAACTTACATTTACAAACTAATAATTTTCAATAAATGGCTATATTTCAATAATTATTTAACTAAGGCAGTTATATTCTTATTTAAGAGAAACTTCCATATGCACTTTGTCTGACGGAATTATTTCCTGGAACTTTAAGAGCCCAAAGTCATCAACTACAACCCAAATGATTTAGAATGTTAGAAACATTTTGTGTTTTAAGTTTCATCTCTCCATGAACACACCAAGAAAAAGTTTATTCTACATATCTCAAAATATCATGTACTATTATGACTATGTTCCCTTGCCAATAGAATTCTATCAGTTCAGAATGTCATTTTACACCAATTGAAATTCATATCCTTCAAACTTGAAGTCAAACATTGAATGGCTTAAACTCATCAATCAAAAGAAACAGACTGGCAGACTGTATAAAAGAACAAGATCCAACAATATGCTGTCTCCAAGAGACTCACCTCATAAGCAAAGATATCCATAGATTGAAGATAAAAGGATAGGAAAAAAATATATCATTTACATGGATCTCATTAACAAGCAGAGGTTTCTATCCTCATATCAGATACAGTGAACTTCAAACCAAAGTTAATCCAAAGGGACAAATAAGGGCATTTCATATGTGTAAGGAAATTACACATCAACAAGATATAACAATCGTAAATATTTATGCCCCAAACCAAAGAGCATCTATCTACATACATTAAACAAACCCTGCTTAATTTCGGAATCAAATAGACCACAACACAGTAACACTGAGTGACTTTAACACAACTCTCTCACCACTGGATAGATCCACCAAACAAAAACAAATTTAAAAAGCTATAGAACTAAAAAATACAATCAATAATTTAGACTTATCAGATACATATAGACTATTTCATCTATCAATGACTGAATACACTTTCTTCTCAGCAGCACACGGATCCTTCTCTAAAATAAACCATATCTTGGGCCACAAAGCAATTTTCAGCAAATACTGGAGAGAGAGGGGAGGAGGGGAGGGAGGGAGAAACCTTGCATTCTATCAGACCATAATGGAACGAAATTAGAAATCAATGATAAAATAAAAAAATAAAAGCTACTCTAATACCTGGAGACTAAATAATATGCTATTAAGTGACCAATAGAGAGCTGAAGAAATCAGGGCTGATATAAAAAAATACTTAGAGATACATGAGAAAAGCAACACAACATTTCAAAATCTTTGGGACATTATGAAGGTGGTTTTAAGAGGAAAGTTTGCATTGCACTCATTCATTAAAAGAATAGAAAGTCACCAAATAAATAACATCTCTAGAAAGGGAATAAATCAACACCAAAAGCAGTAGAAGAGAGGAAATAATTAAATCAGAGCCAAAATCAATGAAACTGAAACAAAAAAAAAAAATCAAAAAAACGTTGGTTCTTTGAAAAAATAAATAAAATTCATAAACCTTTAGCCAAGCTAACAAAGAGAAAAAGAATAAAACTCAAATTAATATATTTTTAAAAAGTGATAAAAAGGAAACATTACCACAGACACTACTGAAATACAGACAATAAATCAGAACTATTTTGAAAATTTATACTCCATTCAAATAGAAAATCTTGAAGACATCAATAAGTTTCCACAAAAATATGACCCACCCAAATTCAATTAGGAGAGCATACAAAATTTAAATAGATAAATTTCAAGCAATGAAACTGAAAATACCATCAAAAGCTTACCAATAAGAGAAGCCCAGGACTAGACCTTCCAAGAAAAACTAACACCAATCCTCCTCCAATTATTTCATAAAATAGAAAAGGAGGGAACCCTTCCAAAGCATCATCCTGATACCAAAACCAGACAAAATACATCAAGGATAGAAAACTTCAGAACAATATCCCTGATGAATACAGATGCAAAAATTCTTAATAAAATGCTGGCAAATCACATACAAAACATTAAAAAAGACAGTGCACCATGATGAAGTGAGGTTCCTCCCAGGGATGCAAGGTTGGTTCAATATATGGAAATCAATAAACATAATTCATCACATCAATACACTTAAAGACAAGAATCACATGATTTTTCTCAATATATGCAGAAAAGGCACTTCACAAAATACAGAATCCATTTATGTTCAAAATAGTAAAAAAACTAGTGAGTAATATGAAGGTACGTCAACATTCTAAAAACTGTATATATTAAACCCAAGGCCAACATCATTCGAAATGGAGAAAAATTTAAAGCATCTGCTCAACACAGTCCTTGAAACCCTAGCCAGAGCAAGTAGACAAAAGAAAGAAATTAAAGGGGTACAAATAGGAAAAGAAGAGTTCAAACTACCCCTACTTGCCAATGACATGATTCTATATTTAGCAGACCAAAAAATTCCACCAGAAAACTTTCAGAACTCATAAATGAATTCAGCTAAGTAGTAGGATATAAAATTAATACCTATAAGTCAATTGTGTTCCTATGCATCAGCAATGAATCAGCTGAAAGAGAAATTAGAAAAACTATTCCATTCACATTAGCCTCAAAAAAAAATCATAAAATTCTTGGGAATATATCTAACAAAAGAGGTAAAATACCTCTACAATGAAAACTACAGAACATTAAAGAAAGAAATTGAAAAAGACCTTAGAAGATAAAGAGATCTCCCACATTCATGGATAGGCACAATTCATATTGTCAAATGGCCCTACTACCAAAAGCACTATGCTGATTTAATGCAATTCCTATTAAAATTCCAATGATGTTCTTCATAGAAATAGAAAATACAGTCGTAAAACTCATTTGGAAAAACAAGAGGCCCAGAATAGCCAAAGCAATCCTTAGCAAGAAAAGTAAAGCAGGAAGCATCACAATACCACATCTTTAATTATACTGTGGATCCAAAGTAAGAAAAACAGCATAGTATTGGCACCAAAACAGACATGAAAGAATAGAAAACACAAAAACAAACCCACATTGAAAAATGATCCTATACTAGACAAAGGTGCCATAAACATACAATGGAGGAAAGATAGCCTCTTCAACACATAGTGCTGGGAAAACTAGAAATCCATATGTAGCACAAAACTCAACTCAATGTGGATCAAGAACGTAGATGTTAGACCAGAGATCTGAACCCACTAGAAGAAAAAGTAGGCCCAACTCTCCATCATACCAGTTTGGGAACCAAATTCCTCAATAAGACTCCTAAAGCACAAGAAGTGAAAGTGAGAATCAATAAATGGAATGGTATCAAACTAAAAACCTTCTTCATTGCAAAGGAAACAATCAAGAATATGAAGGGAGACCCTACAGAATGGGAGAAAAATCTTTGCCACCTGCACTTCAGATAGAGCATTAATCTCTTGGATATATAATGAACTCAAAAACATTGAAAAAAATAAAATAAAATAACCCAACCAATAAATGGGCAAAGGAACTGAACAGGCACTTCCCAGAAAAAATATGAATGTTCAACAATATGAAAAAATGTTCAACATCTCTAGCAATTAGAGAAATGCATATTAGAAGTATGCTGTGATTCTATATCATTCCAGTCAGAATGGCAATTATCAAAAACACAAGTAACAATAAATGTTGGCAAGGATGTTGGGAAAAAGGTTCACTCATGCATTGGTGGTGAGACTGAGAATTGGTGCCACTACTCTGGAAAGCAGTAATGGGAATTCCTCAGAATACTTGGACTGGAACCACCATTTGACCCAGTTATCCCACTCTTTGGCATATACACAAAAGACTTAAAACCAGCATACTACAGTGATGCAGCCAAATCAATGTTTATAGCAGCTAAATTCACAATAGCTAAGCTATGGAACCAACCTGGGTGCCCTTCAACAGATGAATGGATAAAGAAAATGTGGTATACACAATGGAATATTACTCAACAATAAAGAAGAATGGAATTATGATATTTGCAAGTGAATGGATGGAACTGGGCACTATCGTGCTAAATAAAATAAGCCAGTCCCAAAAAACCAAAGGCCAAATGTTTTCTATGACATGTAGATGCTAACACATAGTAAGTCAGGTAAGGGACCAACAGAAGTTCACTGAATTAGACAAAGGAAAATTCATTGCCATGGGCACCCTCACCAAAGGCTTAAAAAGCAATGGGTCCATTCAAACATGATCCAGAACCTCTAAAACTACAAGTCATAACAAACCCTTTCTCTTATTTAGTTAGTTATCTCAGGTATTTTGTTATGGTGAGGGAAGCCTGACTAAAATAACTGTTCAATTCCAAGGCAGAAAAGGGTAGAATACGAAGAGAGAAGGATTCTTTTTCATCAGTTAATATATTCAAACTTCCTCAGGCCTAAGTCCAGAACTTCCATAAAAAGAGCTTTCTATTTCTAATTCTTCTAATTTTAAGAAAAATTCAGGTCTATGTTTTTCTTGAAAATATTTATAAAAATTTAAGGAAGAAAATGAAGATGACAATTACACACCATCCAGACCAAATTACCGTTGATCTTTTAAATGTTATTTCTTTCCAATGGAAAGAGAATTAAAAGTTACACTCCTAAACTATGCATTCATTTTTCAAAGCTGTGAAGTCCAGCTGGAGAAGGCTCATATGGGAGTCCAATCATAAACCAAGGATCTTCATGTAAGGACTGTGAGATCACTTCTCACCTCACAAACTGACTTTTCTTTAGTATCATCAGGCAGCAGAAAGCCCTTGATCCTCCATCCAAAGTCATAGAGCACCAGAGAATCCACAAACAACATTACAATTTTACATGAAAACAACTGTTTCTTCAAGTACATCATAATCATTCACACTATAATTCCCCATTTTGCAAATGATGAAACAAAGACTCAGATAAGTTAAGTGAATCTGCTAACAAATCAAATAAAAATAAAGACAGAGAAACTCTGAATATACAATTAAAATTGATCTAATATATAATTTGTATATCAAGACACAGATCACACATTCTCTATTTTATACATAAACTGAAGCAGGTATATGGTCACCAAACTAAAAAGTGGTAGTTAATTC